TAAATGTAAAAGCTTGGGTTCTACATGCACGAGATGCATTTTAGCTTGGTTAGAGTTGTTTGGGAAGCAGGGCCGGTTCTAGGAGCGGGGTCTCAGGGGCATTGGACCCCACTGAAATCTTATTGGCCTCCTGAAGTGCCCCCCTATCCTGTCACTCATCTGTCCATGATAGATGCAGTTCCTTATCCAAACACTACTGGTGCCAGTGAGTCAAATAAAAAAGTCCATCCAAAATTACATTAGTCTTCTTTTCTTTTTAAGAACTTTTGAACAATCTTGCAAAGTCTTTCAAATGACAAAAAAATTGGCTTAAATTTATCATGCATGTAAAATGCATGTAAAACTGMTAAGGAGAATTTACTGTGCAACCTTTCTTTTAAATGACATTACCTTACAAGTGTTTGAACATGTGTGACTGGTTAAATGTATACACTTTACTAAAACTGGGGATGTGTGTGSAAGGATGTTGAACTTGGTCCCTCTATAAATATTGTGACACCTTGATGGCCCCTTACTCAGAAATATCCTWGATCCGCCACTGCTGGGAAGGTGTTTAACAATGTTCATTCTTGTTTTTCATGGCATTTTGGTGCAAACTATTCACCCAAAAGCTATTACGTAAGTAACTACTTAAGCTTAAGCCCAAAAGTAGACAAAAATAACTTGGTTTGAAATCATTTGCTGAAAGCACTCCTGTTAAACGGTAATCAGCTGCAGACTTATGCTCAGTGATTACGTTCAATAAAATCTCCCCAGTGGTTCATGAGGGATTTTATTAACAGTACAGACAAATGAAAACAGAAATGGGTAAAAACATCACTTTTGCCWTTTGCAGCACATATTAATAATGCAACACGTGAAAATACTCAATGGACCCACTGATGCAACTGTACTATCTGATCTTTAGAAACCCCCTTGTGCCCACAATGGCACCATGTGTTCTCAGTAAAAGCTACAATCCTCTCACCTCTCTTCCTGACACTTTCCCTGCACAGTCAGAGAGCTTTCAGTGAAACAATGTGATTCAGAGCAGCGATGCTGCAGTTCTAGATTCCAGGTTCCCTGTGGGCTTTTCCTCCCAACGAGCTAAAGTGTGTTTACATTCAGTGCTCCTCGCCAGAAAGCTCTGTCCTCCAGGCCTCACTAAACTAGAGTTCATCTCTTTTTTTTTCAAAGCCTTATTCCCTTTAAACACATTTTATTTTGTTAGCACGTAGCTTTTCTACCCATTTTCTTATGGTGTGCCTAGTGTAAAATGAAATTTAAAAAAAGTTTCACTAACAACTTTTACATTATGTAGCTCACATTTTGAGGGTTAAAATTTTTCAACTAATATTTTATTGTTATTAAGCTCACTGTTCACTAATATTTGCTAAATGTTAAATTTAAGTGTTAAAAACATATTTAAATATTAATCCTAAATCTAAATGTTTAAATCTAAATGTAAAAGTTAAACTTTAAATGTTGAAGTTCACATTTAGGTATTCTGGAATGGAACGCAGCCTTTGCTGTTGGTTCTCGGCTCACGTTATGATGTCATCATCCTGAGACTATAGCAACCACTATCGCTCCAGTGCAGCTAAAGCTTCACTACAAGACATTAAACTTACAGTTCTGGTTGGTGTCTGAGCTGCACTTCAAACTGCTGGATCACAGATACCACCCAAATTGTTCCGATGAACACATTTTAAATTTATYTTTTAAATATTATCTTTAGCAATGTTAGAAGTGGTAGCAGAAGTTAGCATCAGATAACCAGGAAAATGTCATCATCCTGCGATAAACAACAACGACCGCTGCTAGCCACCACTAGCCGCTGCTGTAGGAGCAGTGAACTAAATAACAATAAAATGGTTATGGAAATTTTTTAACACTCAAAAAGTGAGCTAAATAATGAAAAATATGTTGATATTTTTTAACATTTCACTTGGCGTTAATTTTCTCGACTTCCCTTCATGCATCATCTGATAATAGCTGTTGTGGGAAATCGATGGCAGCAGTTTGTGTTGAATCAAATTCATTCTTGAGTGTTTAAAAATGCAGGCATCAAAACAAAAACGGAGCTGCAGACCTATCTGTGGGGCGAAACAGGCAGAGCCTTGCACATTTCAAGCTCAAGAAGATGTTCAGAGCCTTCACGTCCCACAAGAAGCGCTGAGTCATGGTGGTGGAAAATATCAAGACTGTCACAGCTGATCAGGGAGCAGCAAAGGTGCAGCTTAGAACAGATTAGTTCAGAAATCTCCTCAGTGCAACCATCCCGARTCTAAACAGTTTCCTATGTCTCCATGTCGTTACTCCATTCATATCTGTTTATCTGCAACAGTGCACCACTTTCTGCTTTTCCTCCTTTTTTTCCCCGACACAATCCTCCGCGAGGAAACGACTGGCTCGGTCAGCTAAAGCTTCCCATCCAGGGCTGCAGGTTTCCCCCACAGACACCGCTGTCTGCTTCAAATAGATAGAACGTTTGGCCGAATTAAGAGAAGAAGTCATAGTGGAGGGATAAAGACCAGAGGGAGGGGGGAGAGGACACCGGAAAGAGGAGAATAAACAGAGAAAATCAGGGAGGGAAAAAAAGCAGAGCTGTAAGAAAGAAAGCAACCAATAAAAGAACCAATAAAAATGATTAAAAAAAAGGAAAAAGATGAAAACAAAAAACACAAAAAACCAATCCATAGTGCATTCACTTAAATTGTTAAACAAATCTGTGACTTGTTAAAGCTGATGCTCAACCTCATCTTAATCTTGTCCCAAACCTCCGTTGACCACCGGTGAGATTTAAGTTGTGTCCGGTGGAAACATGATCAAACAGCAGTTCGCCTGCAGCAAATATCCAATCATTTCTGCCGCTCCGTGTGGCAGCAGTCACTCAGCAGTCACACGGAGGCCTAATTCCCTCAGTGGGAATCTGTGCTTCTGGCAAACATAAAAACGAATCAATCATAAACAAAACAATAAGCCAACAGTTGCGTCTCTGCAGAGCTGGAGTCTCCTCATACTGAGCTAATTCTTTAAGCCATAACATTGATTACTTGATTAAACCATCCTCCAACTTCTAAACGACCTAAAGTGCCAACAATAAACTGACAAAAACATGGTTTTCAATTATCCCAGCCCAACACACATCCAACTACTACTGCTGCTGCTGCTGCA